TTAGCTAAAGTAGCTAGCTGTAAAAAAAAAAAAAGGTTAATTTTATTCATCTTCTCATACACATTCTCTCTCCTCTGTTTTCCTTGTGGAGTATTAGGATAATGAAAATCAAAGGGTGAAAATGAGAGAAAGAGACCCAAAATTGAGTGGGAGGATAGAGACAAGGACAAGAAAATGCTTTATTTATTTCTTTCTTTCTTTCTTTAAATGTCGTGTCAATACCACTAATAATAAAAACGATGTTTAAATTATAAGTTCGGGCTATGAGTGCAACTGACTTTTTTCTCTAAAAGAGGTTGGTTTTATCGAAACGGTTAAATCTGCTTTGGTTAAAAGAAAAATATGAGTTCTTGGTTTGGCCAATGCGGACTCGACTCAGGATGAGACGAAAGAACTCATGAGTGCAATTGCTGAACACACGATATGAAAATAGTGGCAGTGGTCTTTTCCTTGAAGCTTTGGAGGAACTACTTATATTAAGAGAAAACTCAAATCTTCCCCTCTAAAGTGAGTAAACGGTTAGGATTATGAGATATTATATCATATGGACAACTTGATATAGTTGCAAACGCTCTTAGTAGAAACCCAACTCACACATTAGCCCTAATCACCCACCAAGCTCATAAATATTTAGGCGTAGAACGGTATAAATAGTAATTGTAGCCAAAAATCATCTAGAAAATGAGAAATAATATATTTTAATATCTAATAAATTAAATATATTTAAACATCATAAAATATTCCAATTATATTTAACAATATTGTAGAATTAGGTATGTTTGGTTTAAAAACAAATATGAAACTTAAGTAAAAATAAAAAATAATTAGAATGGAAGATATGAAAGGCTAGAAATAAAAACAAAACAATTAAAAAAAAGTATATGGACCAAAATAGAATTTAAACATATTTACGTTGCATCCCTAACCTAAAATTCATTGAAAAATAATGAGCTTTGGCCCATATTGTTTTTAAGTACTTACAAAAAGTCTTTGGATGAGTGATTTTGGGCCATAACTTTGGTATTATTTATTTGTTATTGAAAATTTTAAATTATATATTTTCAATAATTTTAATAAATTTAGTAATTTAGTGTACTTACCTGCATCAAAATTATTATTATTATTTAACTAACTTCAATAAATGTTAAAAAGATTTTGTGCCGAGATTAAATTTAAAGTTTATTGAACGAACAGAGAATAAAATATAAAATATGATGGAATCGAAAAAAATGACAAAAATGATATTTATTATTATTATTATTTTGTTAGGCAGGAATAAGAATATCTTAATTTTGATCCACATATTAACTTTTCCTACGTAATAAGAAAAGTTAATTGGAGTCTTACTTTTAATTAATTTAAATCTCATATCCTATATTTTAAAAAATATTGAGAAGAAAAAAAAATCAATTTATATCCCTACTGTTTAGAGGGATACATTTAACATGTTCTGTATTAAGATTAAAATTCAAAATTCAAATTCGACACCTATGTAACCTGATATTCCCTTGCGACAAGGTCAAATTACATCCTTACAAACTAAATACAGGTAATTTTAGTATGTTTTGTCCTCACTTACCTGCATTCTAAAAAAGTTTTTAGGAAATTATCTAATATAGAATTGATCCAAACAAAATACACTTGATTTTGGAGTTCTTATGCTTGAGCCAACGAAAGAGAGGTGCACCTTGTTGGTATTCTTAAGTTTTTCTTACTCATCTTATATTCAAAAGTGCTCTCATTCGGACGTGAGCTCAGTTTATTCGCCCCTCTTTTATTTACACTATGAAGATCAAAACGAACTTTTATTTACTTGAGGATGAAGTTTAAACATACAATATAGGTGAGGGTATAAAAACTTGAATCCCTCACCTTCAAAGAATGAACTTGTTTTTAATGAAGTTATTATAATGTATTTATATATGTTATTGACTTGAGGTTTTCAGCCGTCTCCATTTACCAAAAGGAAAAGGATTGAACTTGTTTGGGTGGTTCTTAAGTTGGTCGACCATGTGGAACCCAATGTTGGTCCCAACCATGAAAATGTTAAGATTGACCTCGACCTATGGGAAGTTAGGGTTGGCCTTGGCTTAGTTTTAAATAACCAATCTACACTTATTTGGAATCTGATTACTTTTTAACAACCTCTCTAATATTAGGTGGAGTTGTGAGTGAACTTATGCCATACTCATTTTTTTCGAGTACAAACATATCGAACTTAGCTCATCTACGACTTGAGATATATCTTCAAATTATGAACTATGATGAAAAGTGAGTACTTATACCAAAAAGATATACTTTTTTTCGGGTGACTCATAATTTAGTGTGTTTTAAGTAGTAACAAATTACATTTTTTTTTAAAATTAAAATCATTTTTAAACTTTTAAAACCATTTTGGGCTTATTGGGTCTAAATTTATTGAGCCCAATACCTTTCTTTTTTTTTTTTTTACTAATTTTACTCGGGGGCTCGCCAACTCGAAGATTACTAATTTCTTAAAGTATTTATATTTAAGATATTATTCCTCGACTTGTTGAGGGGTATTGAGAATATTTGTTAAAATTTCTAAATAAATAGATTAGAAATAAAATAGAAAGAACCATAAATGATGCATATCAAAGTCAAATATCATACCTATGGTATATAGTAATGGGAGACTAATTATTCTTGGTAATAAAAGAACTAAATATCTTCAATAGACATGTTGAACCAAATGGTTTTAAAATAGAGTCTCATGTTTATATATCAGATTTTATAAAGTGGGTGTTTAGTCTAAAATCAGAATCCGATGAGCGTAAAAAACACACCAACTTTAGTTTATTGTGGTAACTACATTTCCAAAACGCGTAATTTAGTCCTTGGAATTTTTTTAATATAATTTGGTCATGTTTTTATGAATGCTAGTTAGAATTTAGGAAAATATTGGTTAGGTTGGATGGGAAAAAGTGGTTGATATAATTGGGTGGAGGACTTTTGAAGGGGAAGACCAGAATATATATAAATATAAATATTTTTGTGGGATTGGTTAATAATTGACCAAGAAAAGAAGGTTCTATCCCACCAACCACACGTCTTTTTCGTCAAACTCAAGTTGTGGACTCCATTTCTCTCAATTAAATTTCTAAAATCATACTCAAAATTTCTATTTAATTGTTATTTAGGGTTATCGTATCACTTGGTAAAACGAACTCGAGCTCGTTGTAAATGAGAATCAGTTTAATGTTTGACACTCAAATAAAAAATGGGTATATGAATGAATAGAGGTCACGTCTGAATGAGAACGGTTCTTAAGATAGAATGGCTGAAAAAGATTTAAAGAAAACGAAAGTTTCTGTCTATATACATTTTCTTTTTTGTGGCTCAATTAGAGAAATTTCATGATTAAGCGTGTTTTGCTTCGAACAATTCTATGTTGGGTGACCTCTTGAAAATTTTACTACGATACATGTGGATGAAGACAAAACATGTTAAAATGACAATATCGCAGAGATGTAGAAGAATGTTAGGACTATCAGAGCCGAATCTAGATTTTAAATCCTAAGCATGGGGATACAATTATTGTCTCGAATTAGTATTCCCATGTTTCACTACCAAGGATTGCAAACACATTTTAAATATGGGTACTTAGGTTAGCTTAGTTCAATCACTCCCGGTAGAATCATATAGGTGTGATGAAGGGGGTTTCTCGTTGTTCATAGGATTTATGTCCTTGAAAATATGAGTACTTATGATTCAGGTCGGGTCGTTACAACTCTCTCCCCCGACTTTACCTCAATAAAGATCATCATCATGATTTATGGTATGATTATGAGCACTAAAACTCATATTAAATCTCATCCCCCATTTTACAAGTTGGGAGACATTGGTATTAAACTTCTAAACCTTTTGTTTAGTCTCCGCTGAAATAAACGTGTGTTTTAGTGCATTGACCAAAATTTAACATAAAACTCGATTTGAATTTACAAGACATACAAGTCAATGGTTTCACTCTTGTTTTTGTATATTAAATAAACAACTCGGGGAACCCAAGTTGTGCTGTAAAGTTGACCCAAGGCAGACCAAATCTGTGTATATAAAAATCAGTAACGAACCATCTTTTTAGCATACTCCAACCTCTCCTCCTCCTCTCAAACCTTCAAGCATTCATCAATGGCGGCTTCCCTTCTCCTACTCTTACTTTTCTTTACCTTTCAATGCCAAATTCGAGTTCTCTTCTCCCAAACTATACCAAATCAAGGTATTTCTTCTCTTTTTATCTCTCTATGTGGGTCTAGCTATGAATTTTTATAGGGACAGACAAAAATGTCGATTAGATCTTTAGGTATTTAATTTTATGTTCTTTCTAAACTTTACTTGTGTTCGTGGCTGAGTTGTGTTGGGTTATGACATTTTTGAGATCCGACCCATTATTTGAGTTATAAAATTTTTTAACTAAAACAATGAATCCAACTCAAGCTTATTATAAAATTTTTGAGTTTCTTTTGTAGTTTTTTATTCAAATTTTTATTAAAAGTATGGAAGGTTAGTTTGTAAAACCTTCATTTATATTATTTATTTTTAAATATTTAATTAAAATTTGTTGCTCAATTCCAATATACATTTTGAAAATTAACCTTCCAAATAGTTAAAATTTATTTTTTAAGTCGAATAATGTTGGATGAAAGCCCCACATGGACTATTTTAAGAAATGTTCATGGGTTTATAATCAAATAATACTCTCTTAATAGGTATGAGCCATTTTCATTTAGTCCAGAGTAAAACATGAAAGTTTATACTCAAAGTGGACAATTTCATACCATCGTGGATAGTCGTGGTAGGTTAACATGGTATTAGAGTCAAACCCTAAACTTAATCATGTCAATAGAATTCTTAAATGTCTAATAAATGACTTCAAAATTGGGTTAGATGGATTGAATTTGAATTTTTTTTTTTTTTTAAACTTTTTTTCCTTTTTTTAGATGATAGTTACATGAAGTTTGTACAAAAAGCCAATACGTTACCAACAAGAGAAGAATACGACTACATAATAATAGGGGGAGGAACCGCCGGTTGCCCCTTAGCTGCAACATTATCATCAAACTTCTCCGTCCTTGTTCTTGAAAGAGGAAGTGACCCCAATGCCTTCCCCTCCGTCCTATCCCAACAAGGCCTTGCCAACACTCTCACCGACAACGACGACGGCCTTAACCCGTTTCAGAGATTTGTCTCGGAAGATGGCGTCGAGAACATTAGAGGCCGAGTCCTCGGCGGTGGTAGCATGATCAACGTCGGGTTCTACTCGAGAGCTCAGCCGGAGTTCTTCAAAAGCTCTGGTATCCAATGGGACATGACGGCGGTGGAGAAGGCATACCAATGGATCGAAGAGACGGTCGTGTCTCGACCCGAGTTGAGCCCTTGGCAGTCGGCGTTCCGAGAAGTGCTTTTGGAAGCTGGGGTTGGCCCTGATAATGGATATGATTTGAAACATGGTGTTGGGACAAGAACTGGAGGTTCTATTTTTGATTCTAGAGGTAGAAGACATGGAGCTGTGGAACTTCTCAACAAGGCTGATCCTAGGAATCTCCGAGTTGCAACCCAAGCCACGGTCAAGAGAATCATCTTCTCTCAATCTAATGGTTAGTTTAAATATATATTAATTTTATCACCAAATTTTGAATTTTATTAGAATTCCATCCTCAATATAGATACTTTAGGTGAGATTCTACGTCAAGTTGGGAGGAGAATACATCCTTTATAAGGCCATGGAAACCTCTCCCTAACAAACGGGTTTTAAAAACTTTGAGGAGAACCCCGAAAGAAAAAGCCTAAAGATAAAAATATCTGCTAGCTGTGAATTTGGACTATTACAAATGATATCAGAGTGAGACTCGGGTGATGTGCCTACGTGGAGGCAGTGTGCCAGAAAAGACGCTAGCCCCAAAGGAGTGAATTTGGTAGGGTCCCGCATCGATTAGTGGGAGTTCCACATATTTCTGCATATGTGATGCGTAAGCATACCTGACCCCAACTGGGTGGATTTGGTGGGGTCCCACATATGTCTGCATATGTGATGCGTAAACATGCCTCGCCCCAAACGGGTAGATTTGGTGGAGTCCCACATATTTCTACATATGTGATGCGTAAGCATGCCTGACCCCAAACGAATGGATTTGGTGAGATTCCACATATTTCTGCATATGTGACTTGTAAGCATGCATGAGTTAACGTTAGACTAACAAAATTAGGACGATTAAAGATACAAACAAAATTGAGACGATTAAAGATGTATGTATCCTTTTAATCAATTACTTATTTGAATCCTTTAGGTTTATCTGCAAGTGGAGTCTTATATTCCGATTTCAAAGGCAAACTCCACAAAGCAACCATTTCCAAAAATGGAGAAATCATACTCACCGCCGGCGCTATTGGGAGCCCACATCTTCTCCTCCAAAGTGGGGTTGGCCCAAAATCTCATCTTTCATCCTTAAAACTACCAGTCGTCCTCCATAACCGACATGTCGGCCAATCCATGGCCGATAACCCTCGCTTTGGAGCCGCCATCGTTCTCCCATTTCTCACCCCACCGACGTCCGTACAAGTCGTCGGAACTTTAAAACGCAACATCCACATCGAATCCCTCTCAAGTATATTACCCTTTTCAATCTTCCCACCATTTGGCCTTCTTCCTCCTCGTTCCACCGCCGTGAATCTCAGCCTAGCCGTCTTCGCCGGTAAATTCTCCACCGTGTCCTCCGTCGGCAGCCTCCGTCTCGACGGGAGAAAAAACCCAATTGTACGATTTAACTACTTATCACATCCGGATGATGTTGAACGGTGCGTTGAAGGGGTTAGAAAAGTTGGGGATTTGGTGAATACCAAAAGTATGGAGAGGATTAAAACAGGGGATTTGGAGGGTAAAAAGGGGTTTAAGTTTTTGGGTTCTCCGTTGCCAGAAAACATGTCGGATTATAAATTGGTCGGAGATTTCTGTCGGAAAACGGTGACGACGTTTTGGCATTACCATGGAGGATGTTTGGTCGGAAAAGTGGTGGACGATAATTACAGAGTGATCGGAATTAAGAAGCTTCGTGTTGTTGATGGTTCGACTTTTTCTCTGTCGCCGGGAACCAATCCGATGGCCACCGTGATGATGTTGGGCAGGTGGGTCGTCGGTTTTGTTTTAAATTTAAAATTTTTCACCAACCCTTTTTACAATCATTAAATTCTAACATTCAAAATTTCACTTCTGGAAATGTTTTTGCAGGTATGTTGGCCTCAAGATGTTGCAACAGAGATTGGGTTAGGGTGGATGAATTTTTTTTGTAATTCGTTGAATAATAAGTTAACCGTTCGTGAAATTGTAATTGATACTTTATTGATTGAGCTATGTTCAAATGGAGAATTGAATTTATTGAAATCTCTATTCATATGAGATCTTTCTCGATACCAAAAACTAAGTCATAAGAGTTTATAATCCAAGTGAGGTTCATCCCTTTGTGCTTGCCATTTTTGGATCATATTGGATAATATATGGGGTAGTGCTTCATCTCAAAACTTAATTAGTAAGATGAGAAGTAACACGTGTCTCATCTCAAATTTGGATCATATTTGCTTGCGGCGAACTTGGGTTATTACAAATAGTATTATAGTTAGACATAGCGAAAACGCTAGGCCTCTAAAGGGATAGATTGTGAGAACCCACATCAATTATAGATGAAACGAAACATTTTTTATAAAGATGCAATGGTGACAATACATAAAATTGTAGGTCATCAAAGAAGATTTACAATATCTTGCTTTTCTAATGTGATTTATTTAATATGAGGTACTAACGTATTAAGAGTATTTATTCAATATTTTCTTTAAAATAATTATTACTTTCTAAAATATTTATCACAAGATTGGAAAAGACATTGCAATAATGATGCTGCCATTGTTATTTAAGATTCCAAGGCATTAATTAAAGAAAGAGAAAAATATAATAAATAAATTGCAATAAATATGAGTTGGGAGAAATTTATTAGGGATCTCTTCCAATGCCGACCAATTAAGATAGCTACTAGCATACATCACCACAAAAAAAATAAAAAAAATAAAAAAAATAAAAATTAGAATACCATTTACTAAGACTTCATACTAATAATAAAAAAAGTTAGAATTATTTAACAAAAACATTGTTTTATATTTCCATTTCAATTATTTAATTGACATTTCTTAGTATGACTTTTTTGTCCCTTTCGATATTCGATACCTCGTTTAACAAAACAATATTTATTATTTAACTAAAACTACCATATTTATAAAATAAATAGAGTGTTCGAGGACTAAATTAATTAATATATCTATAAAATGTTATTTTGTTTAAAAAAATATTCATAAACTTTTAGATTTTCAATTTCTTTTTTAAACCAATGGAATCAGTTACTATTTTGTTTAAAAATATCTTTAAACTTTTAGTACCACGTCTAAAAAAATACTCATAAAATTTTAAGAGTAACATTAACACACTTAATATTTATTAAAAAAAATTTAAAAATTTTAAAATTGATCGTTGATATATGGACGAAAACCATCTATGAATATCTGATAGATCATCTCTATATTTTTTATTTTTTATTTCTAAAAATTGGTATTGATGTAGGGGTGTATATATATTGTTATATTTGCAATTATTTATAGTTGAGTTGGTGCAATAATTTAAACATATAGATAATGAAAGCAATTGATGGGCGAAAGAAAAGGCAAAGGATTTAGGCATTATTGACAAAATGCTGCCGTGCCTTAGCAGTCTCCTCATTTTTGTCGACTAATGTCGGCAGTGATATTAATTCAAAATGTGCGTACGTGTTCTATATTGACCGATGAAAACAAAATTATTTGATTGGATAATGTTGCCCTTAAAATTTGCAAAAAACTATTATTTTCTTTAGGTAGTTTCAATGATCTACTCATTTCACAATACCTTATTTAAAACATGTATAGAAAATTATTTTGTTGTAACGAGACTTTAGGAACATGATTAGAATATTAAAACAATGGAAAATTGACGTAGAATAGAAAATTCGTTGCAAATATCATTACCTGTAGGATGCCACTGTCTTTATCTTAAGAAAAAAATTGAATATTAAAAATAGGATTATTTGTCTGTCATGATTTAGATCTAAAAATTTGGTATTTGGGTTTTTTGTTTTTAATTTTTTTTAATTTTTTCGAGATGTTTATCATTTTCAAACACAATTCTATGTACATTAAACCCATTAGACGAACATAACTTTTATGAACAACGAAAGAAAGAGAAATTGTAATAAGAAGAGATACTTGGTTACGAGGGAGAGAGTAATTTAAAAGGAGTGGGGAGACAGAGATCTAAGAGAAGAAACAAAATTTCAACCTAATCCTCGTTCATCTTGATTTGGTCAACCTTCAATTTCCATCATTTTCTTACCATTTTAATTTAACATATTCAACAAGTTTGACTAACTTAAGACAACGATATGTTGAGGATTGTTAGAGTCCCACATTTGCTAATTAAATAGAAGATCATTGATATAAGTGAAGGACATTATCTCTAATGAAACGAGACGTTTTGGAGAAACCAGAAACATGGAAGATCATTATTACTAATATGGTATTAGACTCATGCTCTTATCTTAACTTAGTAATGTCAATAGTGTTGGATGATGGAAGTCCCACATTGACTAATTTAGGGTGTGATCATGGGTTTATAAGTGAGGAATACTAACTCCATTGGTATGAGGCCTTTTGGGGAAGCCCAAAGCAAAGCCACGAGAGCTTATGCTCAAAGTGGACAATATCATACCATTGTAGAAAGTCGTGTTCATCTAACAAATATAATTTGTTCGAGAACTCTAGATCATATAGTCTTTGTTAATTAAGGAAAAGATCACGAGTGTCGTTTTGGTAGAGGATAAATAGGAACCTAATTGCATAGAAGCCTCTAAAAACGTAACATTGAGTTGATGTTACCACATCGATTATATATAAAATAAATTATTTTATAGCATTATCAACGTGTTAAGTTAGAAGTGAGAACATCGATCCAAGGAAAAAAAAAAGTGAGATTATTATAGCAAATGATAATTTTTTTTTTCTTGGCTAAAAGTCAATGACACGTTCATTGTATTTCAAAAAAGGAAATCATGAATTTTTCATTATTACATGTCACTATTATCTTTAACTTAATTTATCAATTGGGTCCAAAAATTATAAATTTATTATAATGTTAACCACATTTTATAAAACTAAAATAATACTAAATTACTCAACATTTACCAACAAACTATTCTCTATTTTTATGCCCAAAAACTCTTATAAAATATATTTATTTTTATGCTCAAAAACTCTTATAAAATATTTTCAAAGAGTCTAGTGGCATAATAGATATTATTCGTTTTGACTTCGTCGTGAACCTCACAATTTTAAAACGCACCTCTAAGTTAGAATTTGCTAGCAATGGATTTAGGTTGTTATCAATGGTATCAGAGTTCAACACTGGGTGGTGTGCCAACGAAGAAGTCGGACACTCAAGGAAGATGAATTGTGAAATCACATATCAGTTGAAGAGAGAAACAAAACATTCGTTATACCTTTCTCTAATAGACATGTTTTAAAACCTTGAGGCTGACGGCAACATGTAACAAACAAAAGCAGACAATATCTTTTAGGGGTGGATTTGAGCGGTATGATCTCACCTTTTTTAGGATAATGAAAATTAAAAAAAGAAAATTATTTAAAAATGTGCAGCACACAAGAGAAGACCAGCTTGGTTGGAAATCAATAGTAATTTAGTTGCATTCAAATTAATAGTGGAACTTTGTATGTTTATAAATACCCAACACGGTTGCGAACTTCGAAGATATAAACAATTATGGAGCGTTCCATCGCTACCATTCTCTTTCTCATTCTCATCTCTACCTTTCAATTCGGAGCCATCTCCTCCAACACTATCCCCGATCAAGGTATGAATTAAACCCTCTTTCTAGTTCATTTCTATAAAAATTTATATTCGTTTCTTTATAAATTTTAGGTGTAAGATATCACAGCGAGTGTAGAGAAGAACGAAACATTTTTTATAAGGGTCTGGAAATCTTTCCCTAGCAAACTCGTTTTAAAACATTGAGAAGAAACTTGGAAGGGAAAGCCCAGAGAGAACAATATTTATTAGCGGTGGACTTGAGCTGTTACAATAGAAGTATTCTCGAGTTGTGTCGAGTTGGATTAGAACATTTTTTAGACCCAATCCCGTTAAGAATGAGAAATAGAGATGGGTTTAAAGGGATGATATATCTTGTGAAAGGTGATCATAATTCATCCGTCATCCTCTTCTGATCTCTGTCAATTTTCTTCTAATATGTTCTTTATCTTCTCCTGCTCTGATACTATGTTAAGAATGAGAAACCTAGGTGGGATCGAAAGTCCAAGAAACATAAGTTGGCACCATAGAGATTAGAAGAGGACGACGGAATTTTGATCCCACCTACGTTTCTCGAACTTTTGATCCCACTTATATTTCTGGGACTTTCGATAACTTTTGATCCTACTTATGTTTCCTATTCTTAATATGGTATCAAAGCTTTTCATTCTTAACAAATTTAACTGTTCCTCTTGTCAATTTTTCAAACGAAATGACCCTTGTTAAATAATGACTAATCAATTTTTCAAACTAAATGACCCTGGTTAAATAACAACTAATCCAACTATTAGGTTAGATTGATTTGAATGGTTCAAATTATTTATTTAATCCTTCAAATAAAAATAGGAAAAATATATATTTTTTAAAATTAGTTATAAAATTCAACCTATGAATGACACGTTCCTAATTAAACCCGGATCATTAGTAAGAGACCAATGGGAAGCCGAAATCAAACCCATGAGAGCTCAAAAGAGACAATATGATATCATTGTGAGAGTCGTTCATCTAAAGGAGAATCTACCATCCATTTGAATCCAACCACAGATAATGATTTTACTGTCCCAAAATAAAAATTGATTGTTTTGAGCTCTGTTTGTTCAGATGTTAGCTACATGAAATTCGTGCACAACGCCGGCGATCTACCAGAAAAACAAGAATACGACTACATAATAATAGGAGGAGGAGCCGCCGGTTGCCCATTAGCTGCAACATTATCATCAAAATTCAAAGTCCTCCTTCTCGAGAGAGGCAGCGAACCCAACAAATACCCCTCCGTCTTAAACGAACAAGGTCTATTAAACGCCTTCTTAGCACAAGACGATGGCCAAAACCCCTTCCAACGCTTCACCTCCGAAGACGGCGTGGAGAACATCAGAGGCCGCATTCTCGGCGGCAGCACCATGGTCAATGCCGGCTTCTACTCAAGAGGCCATCGCCAATTCTTCGAGACAGCCGGCGTCA